CATTATGCAGCCCGGCTTTTAATTATCGAGAAAGCTAAAAATATGCTCCAATGCAAACCACAAAAGTGCACAAGTGATTACGTCACATCCCACACCCTTTACCAATTTTCGTGTGTGTGGACACACATACATAGGGAGGAGTAATCGTGCTTTGCATGTGACGGTGGGACAGCATATCCCGAAATAGTTAGAAAAACAAATGAATTGTGGAAAACCAACAGACACAGGTGTCAGACTACCAACTTCGTCTACAGTTAAACATCTAATCGAGATGAACCATAAGATTGATGTTAACTCAGCCTTTAAGGTCATCTATAAAAATGGTCAAGGGCGCTTATTGAAATACGCTGAGGCTATAGGTATTCCTAAACTTAAGACCCCACCCCCCCTGCGTATTCAAAAACAGTTTATTATTACTCTTAACCCACCTTGATAATCCTTATTTGATTGGATTACCAAACGTGTTAATCATTCATATGTATCAGCTTGACAAGTAAATGTTTGATCAGATTATTCGAAATGTATAGTGCAAATACATCACATTTTCCAGATAATCTCCGTCTTCTAATAACACTATCCAAATTTATAAAAGGGACTAATTATTTTAAATTATAATCATCGTTATTAATGACGTTCAAAACATTTACCACATTATTATTATTATTACTTGATCCACAAAAATCACCATCATTGGTTAAAATTTTTATATATAATTCTATGTAAATTATAGTAAAGCCTGAAGATCTAATTGAAAACAATATTGTTCGCTTATATTTCTTGTTCTAATATTAATAATGGGAATATCAGAAAAATTTAACGATGTTCATCCTGCAATAAATTTTATCATTGAGAAAGAAAAAGGACTCTTGTAATTCATTTTTAGACGTCCTTATGACCACAAAAGAGGACGCTACAATAAGAAGTGCATATAGACAACCTACATCAACTGGTCAGTATACTCATTTTTTTAGCTTCGTGCCTTTGAAATACAATCGCAATCTGATTAAGAGCTTGGTGCATAGAGCAATCTGCTCTGATCAATGCCCTAATGAAGAACTTATTATTATTAAACAGTTGCTGAGTGAAAACGGTTGTCCAGAAAAATTCGTTGACAAAAATATGAATCAAAAAATCAAGGCAGTCAAAGGTACCAACAGTTCCGAAAAGGCCTTATTCTTACAAATTCAGTTCCTTGGGGATAACATCAGCGAGATATTAACACAACGCCTAATAAATGCGGTATAAAGAGCATTTACTGCTGTCTTCAAAACCACTCCCTATTTTACGTTCGGGAGTAAAAGATAAACTGCCTAATTTCGCCTCTTCCATGTGTATCAACCAATTTAACTGCTCCTATGGAGCCGTACAACTAGGCGTGTTTCTCGTCGCATTTCCGAACATCACCCTGCGTGGTTGCCTAAGTGAAGGACAAACAAAATCCATTCATAGCACTATTCTATCTCATCTTGTGGATACAGAACACAAGATTGATGTTAAACAGGATTTCAAAGTCATTTACCGCATACCAAAAAATCTTAACTTCGCCTTTACAGTTCGTCTGCTACATAATGCTGAGGCCGCTGGGACCCATTTTAAAAAGCCTAACTTGTGTGCCCAAAAGAAGCTGGTACAGATATTGTCCTTACTTTGACCATCTAGGTTCTAACGATCCTCAATTTTTTGGTAGAAATTTCCTTCATTTTATTTGCCATTTTATCTTTATTATTATTATAATTTATGCATTTTCAGTGAACTGTATTAATAAATCGACAGTATTTAAAAACACCAATATTGTTAATAAGGACTGTTCTAGAATAATCTATGTATATGAACATATATATAATTGTAGAGCCAGATGAGGAAATTATCGGAAATTATGTTCTTTGCTCAATTTTGTTTTTTCCTAAATTTGTATGTACTTGATTCTAAACGACAGTGACTGAATGTTTGTATTACTTATTTCAGTTGGTAGATCACATAATGAAACATTACTATTCACTAACCGACAGCAGAACTTTGAAGATGGCCAGGACTGGTGTCGAATCTTTTGTTATCAACGGATCTGTCTAGCCTGCAACATTAAGTTTAATAATGGGCACTGCGTGCTCGTGCGTGCATGTAGTGCTGTTGCCTCCAGGAACACCAACAAATAATCTATCTAAAGAACTTTTCAGGAAATTAAAATACCTAACAGAATCATGCGACCATTCCATCAATTCGTCAATCGAAATTTTTGAGAAAATCAAAATAAGTGCATAACAATGAAATAATGGTGTCCTTTGATGTCACAGCATTATATACTTCAATTAGTCCAAAACTAGCAATAAAAAATTACTCTATAGTGACGAAAACATAAAAACACGATATTCAACTTGGATAGAACACATAGAACTATGTATGACAACATACTTCCAATTCAATACTCAAATATACGAACAGATGAAAGGAACACCAGTGGGATCGCCGATATCAGGATGAATAGCTGAAGCCGTCATGCAAAGACTAGAATTAATAGCTCTAACTATAATTAAACCAAAACTCTGGGTACGTTACGTTGATGATACATTCGTAATAATTAGAAGAAATGATTTGGAATATACCCATAAATTAATGAACAACATATTTGAAGACATCAAATTCACAAGAGAAGAAGAATTAGATAACACAAATCCCATTTTCAGATATCTTAATCAGGAGAACTAACGCAGGGAATTTAGAAACACAAGTATATAGAAAATCAACGCACACACATCAAATACTCAACTATACTAGCAATAATCCAATTACTCACAAAAGAAACTGTGTGGAGACGTTGTTTAAAAAACTTCAAACACACTGTAGCAGTCCAGTATTGAAGAGAATGGAAGAAAAATACCTACTATTTGTCTTCAAAAAGAATGGATATCCGCACAGTTCCATCAAAAAGTTTAAAATCGAGTCACAACACCAACAAGAAACCATCATCAAAGACTACAAGAAAATTCATCCTACCATATATAAAAAATATCTTTGAAATAACAGCTAGAATACTGAAACCGTTTAAAATAGTCATAGAATACAAACCAGTCCAATCACTTAATTCGATATTGTGCAAACTGAAAGATCCAACAGAAAACGAAGACAACGTTAATATCATTTACAAAATAAATTGTATGAACTGTGACAGACATTAGATCGGCCAAAGTGGGCGTCCCCTTAGAATCAGAATCCAGGAACACAAATCAGCTGTGAAAAGACATGATATATACTCTTTGATATCAATGCATGTAGATAATTACGGACATCAGTTTGATTGGGATAATGTCAAAATTTTAAACAGAGGAACACCAAAAGTGCCACAGGATTCCTAGAAGCCTGATACTCAAACGAATATGCAATCAACGAACATGTTAATATAGACCAAATCTACCAACTAATAAAAAGTAAATCATGTGACGAGAAAGTTTAAAATCGAAGTCAATAAAAATGACCAATACATATGTAAAGGTGGGTAGCCAGGAGACGCAATTCTATCACTCATGGAAAATTTAAATCAGTCCACTTTATGCTAAAATTGCGCTGAAGATGTCCAGAAGGTCGACGAAAGCTCCACAACTAAACCAGCCAGCTCAGAGAACACTATTAATTGCAAATGCACTGAAGGTGTTGCCTAGTAGGGCAGTGTAGGGTTCACAAGTGAACCATTCAGCTCATAGAACACAACTACGTCAACATCATCCACCTGACCTACAAATCTAAATTACATTTAGGAAATTATGAACTAGTAGTGGTCTAGGAGAACAGACTAAAATTTAATGAAATGACTATTAAAATACTTGAAGCAGCAATGGTCACATTACACTAGGTTTGTATAAAACACATTAAGACCTGTCGGTATTGTGATATCCACGTTACAAGGTGTGCCTGAGATTCATGAAAGCGATTTTTGTTCATCATCATCATCATCATATATACATATATATATTGGTGAAATGATTATCCTATTCGTTTCTTGGTTTTCGAGTGGGACATATGGCTACAGCGGTACATATCCACTGTATTCTGGCCTCATTTTAGCTGGTTGAACCAGTACCCACCAACTTTCGTTTGCCGTTTACATGACCCCCTCCATCTTCCTCTAGATCACCCAACTCGTCATTTACGGTTCGAGCTACACTCGGCGGCCTGACGCGTCGTCACTCAATAGTCTCCTATCCGGCACTATTTTCTCCTGCATACTTTTTAGGTGATCGTTTCTTGACGGGTTCGCTGCTTCATCTTGTGTGTAATGAACACAAAAATGATGGTACAGAGATTGGTATTTTCGTATCTTCAAAAGTTCCTCTCTGCTGTGGCTGTTCACATAGTATGCGCAGTATCTTACAAATGGTGATTAAACTATCGTTGTAGTTATCATTTGACATGGTCTACAAGCTCGCCTTGTAATCAGAAGGTCCTGGGCTCGAACCCCGGTGATTGCGTACTACTGAAGAGTCTCAAACTAGGACGAAACGGCTGTTTAGTACTCCCAGGTTTTCCAGTGGTTCCCTAAGTGATGTCAGCTCATGATGAAATCCTCCAACCCAGTACTAATTTAATTAGTTCAAATGAATTATTCGTATCTTGGTGTTTTTTTACATAACTCATACATTTATTCTTCCTAATCATCAGTATCTTGAAAAATAATAGACTCTGTAACCTGTTCTTAATGACTACAAAGTGACCCTTTTGACTTCCTTCCTTAATTCATAATTTTCACTCCTTCCTATAACTCAAAATTCATAATTCCTTATGATATACATTAGCAGTTATCCGCAATGGAGAATTCACTTCATATAGAGAAGTAGCGCCTCTTATGCATAAATATTCAGAACCAAGTTAACGAGTCACATTAAAACGATTATCAAGTAATTAAGAAAGTGTATATTCAAATTAATTCTAAGGGTGAGACGAACACAAATGGAAGGATACTTATGAACATTAATTAAGCACCATACCACGAAATGATATTGCGACCTTCTTCATTGCTTTGTAGGGCTGTACGACGGTTGCTGATCAAATGATTCATCCAGATATCGATTTCTCCGAATAGCATAAATGGAATATAGATCTGCGTTAGCTTGCTTAAGGATTTTAGTGATAAATTTGCCATTTAAATATTCGTAAATTATCTACGCTGCGTAGATAAATAAGTGGACTCGAGATCATTGATAGAACATCATTAAGCAAAGAAATAAAGCTGAGGGTAATCTATGCACTGATTTACGCTTACTAATTATACATTTGTGAAAACAGGCAACAGACAAAAAATCAAGTCTGAATGACGTATATTTCATTCTATAAATACAAAATATTGGTTACTTGTGTCAATCAAAATTCTGGTGTGTATTACGAAGAACGTTTAGTCCTATTACACTTTTCTGTATCCCCAGCCCCGCCCTTATAGTCAAACAGGTGTATAGTGCTTTTACTGCGATAGTTGGAGTAAAAACAAACGCCATCAACGCATTAAATCCCTTAACCAATCTACCAACTTACCTAAAAACCATATATGCACCAACCAGTAACTTTGTGAATAGCCAACCAGATTCTCGTGTAAAATAGGAACTGTTGAATTTAATAGTTTAACTCTTCATAAACCGAGTTGTAGACAGGTAAATTAGTGTGATAGTACTCACATGTTAATGGAAATGACATAAGATTTTCTTCACAAAACAAAATATTACACATAAGTCATCAGTGACTTACACTGAGCTTTATCTTTAGTGCCAGTTCGGTAATGACAACTTTATTTAATTTTTCCCTAATAAGCACAATCCTTCTATTTGTTTCACATATCATGAGAAAGGTGGTATGGCTGCATAAACCTTATCGATTAGGTGTAACGGCCGCCGAATTGTTATAAACACCTTAGCCTGACTTTTGATGAAGTTATGGATTGATGAATAATATCAATGAAATACAGAGCTAGTAAATGACTAAACTTAATGCAATCATCAATAACCATACACAGAGACGTAATATTACTTTTTAGGAGGAATTAAGTAGAGCTTATGAACATTTAAAAGTGCAGTTTTTTTATTTTCACAGGTCACATCTGTCTATCCGATTTAACCGACGAATTTTGCTCAATACTGCGTTTACACATGCCAAGTAGAAGCAAGTAATCAATACAATATGACCGACTTTCTCATTCAAAAGAGCTAGGTGTACTCATCCGATTAGTGCGTCAGTTACAAAGAACTTACAGTTATCCCAGTTGTTTTGCCAAATACCAGAGTGGGATTTTGCCTTAAGTTAGGAGAATTTTCCTCTATGTTTATCCACAACGACTAAGGGTTAAGAGACAGGTTTATGAGAAAAAATTGCCTGGGTTTGTGGCAGCATCCAGAAAATTCAATACAAGCGGTGAGTCCATGTTGCAAGAAGGAGGCAAACATTCTGGAAAGAGTACGGAGGGTAGGAACCAAATAAGTTAGTGGTATCCCTTACCTTCCTTATGTTAAGAGGATGGAGCATTTAAATCTATTCCCATGGTCATACCGAAGGAGAGACGACTAAATTTTGGCATGTCGTATATTAAAAGGTGATTTATGGATTGACCATTCCAATATTTTCTCTTCCTCTACGATACATTTACGAGGTTACCACAAAACAGTGCTTAAACAGAGGTCGAATAAAATACGTGAGGAATTTGTATTCTCTCATAGTGGTCAATGACTGGAACACATTACTTCATTCAGCAGCAACAGCTCCATCGTTAGGCGCTTTCAAAGATAAACTGGGTCTCTGCAGAGATATATACTGCAAGGATTAACATAGGTACCAAGAGACTTCTAGCCTTATCATCTATATCTGAATCACAAAAAGTCATCTCCTAGGGAATCCGTTCAGTTTTCACTTGCTAAAAATTACGTTAAATAGTACACACGGATTTATGTACTATATACAACATTACTGTTGGAGAAAATAAAATTAACTGGAGTCATAAAAGGATTGTAGTAAACCCATTATAAAGGATACAACTTGCGACAGCAAATCCAACAGATACCAGTGCAACCTTTGCTGCCTTTTTGTTTGTGGTTCGAACAATACTGGATCTACGAGCATTCCACTTTTCCGTATGCTTCACAAAATGTTCAAGTACATCCTTTGCTTTGCCTTCACTCATTTTCGTAACGCACCTCTTATATTAGCCGCCAACACACTTCGACGTGTTGCTTATGTGATTTGATTTCTTGTCTCTCCTAGTAGCTTTGAAACGATTAGAGCAGATTCAGGTAGGAATAATTGCTAAAATAAATGCTAAAACCTGGGAAAATGACCTACCTAATGAGTGTGATAGATAATCACTGTAGCAAGATAATAATAATTGACGACAGTATGAAGCATATATTTAAAACGACTGAATGGGTGAAACTAAATATTAGTGCCTCAAAATTAACTCCGGTTTCATAACTGAACATAACTGAGACCTTCATTACCCTTAACTTCTTGCTATCAATAACGTGACCCTTAATACTAGGAATGACCCTTTGCAAGTTATATAACAGGCTGGTGACTCTCTCCACAGAATGTGGTGCAGTGACATCGCATGGCACAAGTTTCGTCTTACACGGAACTTGTACATGTATTAGTGGAATTGTCTGTCTGTGCACGAGTGGCTGTGGTACCTTTGCTGGCTTCTTCTGTATAATTGGCACTTGTTATAAACTTCTCCTTTAGCTCTCTCTACATGTGACAGAGCAGTTGTACATAAGCATCACGTGAATCTCGGTCTAACAGTATGCGGATGTGCATAACGTGACATTTTTTTACATTAAATTGTGTGGCCTGTTTCTCCAAAGTGGTCGAGTCTTCCTGAAACCTGAGTGCCTCTCACTGCTCTCTATAGTTTCACATCACCAGTGTAGAGGGTCTGTTTGGCTGTTTGGTAGGGAAGACCGAGAATTACATTAGACCTGAAACAGCACTGTGCGATGCATCAGTAAACTGCTTACTCCATATAGAACGAACAAAGATTGGCTTTGTGACAAACTCCATAATCCTTGAGTCTGCCCTTAATCCATGAAAGCAGTAACCTGTCCAATTTTATCGAGGATTGTCCAGATAGGTATATCGTGCGATACTTCATCAAAGTCTTTCATCAAGTACATAAACTGACTATTATATGGCATATTCTCTTTTCAACGTGGCGGTAGTAGCTTTACCTTGCCAGTATCGTTCGAATTAGTCGATTTGGGTTGGGGTTACTTTGTGTTGTTTAGTCCAGGCAGATGCAGCTGACATGATTTTGATGCTTTTTGGCTCTTGTTCAGTGGATTTATAAACTAATTAATGTTTGATATTGTTCATGAGTTTGGATGCGCTGTTTGTGCATAAGGACGCTTAAGTATGAGTTTCTTGCAAGGATTGTTTGGTATATCGAGTTTGCTTGTCGTACATTTCGGCGACAAATTTCTCTGCTTACTGGTGGCGGCCCGTACTCGGTCGAAAATTTCTGATTATCTGTTGTGCAGAACCATTTTCTGTTGCAGAAACCTAAAAATATGGTTGATAGTGAGTCCGTAATTCTCCATTTGTGTGTGGTATGTAGACCTCTTAAAGCCGTTTGAATCCACTGATACAGGCGAAAATTAACTTTCATATTCCATCAGAAATTACATCAATTTATACAAACACGTGCAACATTGGCTTTTTTCTCTCAAAATACTGAATAAAATGCACAATACAACATATTCTGGTACTTCGCTACATTTGAATTACTTAGAAATCATCGTGATCAGGAACGTAAGGACACCTGAGTTATGCGTCACTTTGTTTTGCTGTTGTATTTGCTCACATAAAATATGCATGTAAAGAGTAGGGAATGCATTTGTTAGTGATCAAATATGGAATAAAAAGTCAGTGATTCTGGAAACCAATTTCTTCAGCAACGAACTCCATGAAGTCACCGAAATTATCAAGTACCTAAAATAAGAAGACGAGAGTTTACAGGATGTGTACATGAATATCACTTATAATATAATAATTGATGACTTAACATGGTAAGTAGTATCAGAAGTTCGTATTAGTGTGCGATTACGTCAGTAAATATTTTCGACACAAGCGGATTTAAAAGAAAAGGCGTTCAGCGAACAGTTACTCTTTTCGGCGCCATCATTCTCAAGCTTCGTCTTTTTAGTGCTAGTTTTTTCTTAATTTTGTAATATTTTCTTGCCACACCCCTTATTACCACCAAGTAAGTGAGCGTACAAAGGAGGGTCGATTAAAAGAAATAACCTCTTAATTTGACCTAGCATTCACCTGAAGTAACACATGATTAAATCTCTGCAGGTGCGTCTGCGTCTCATTTTGCCAGCCTTTCATCTACATAACTCAGTGGGACACTATGTATGGGAATTTATTACAAGCACATTTCACAGCAACATGCACAAGTCTTGCATATCTTTAGATCTGTATTATAAGTATATTAATTGTTTTGCAGCCCAATGTGAATAATATCAGGGCTTCACAGCAACAACTTTGTGGGAGTTAGATGTATTGAAAGACTGCTTGCACACCCTGTGTATGACGACACCGACTGGAATACCTCCGAAGGCTGATAACCCACACTGAAGATGACAGAAATTACATATTTAAGAGACACGTGATGCATAAGAAAAATGTTGTAAATAAGCGTACTACAGGGATAACAAAATGGTACCCATCTCATTCACTTTTATTCTGACTCTCTCTTATGTTCGTGTTACTGACTTCTGGTCAACGGTTTCTTCTTCGGTGCACTTCATCTGGACAATTTGAGGAATTGTGAAGATGCATATAGAACCTACGAAACGGCATTGATAATCGTTTAAACCAATTAACACTGCAGCGAGTTATGACACAAGGGAGCTGCGATGACAACTGGTAACTGACTGAGTTTCATCATAAAACCCAGCGCAGAAGTGAAACAGTTCAAGTTGCCACATTCCACACTTGAAAGATATTTTATTCAGTCGGTTATAAGCAAGAAGCATTTCATTAGATGTGTTTAGAATTAGCACCTAGGCTATGAGATAAAATAAACTGACTCAAAAGATGTGACGAGACAAAGTGTGAAACCCATTCTGTGTAAGAGGAAGGATTATTTTAAGATAAGTCTTTTATCAGTTAGACGATAGCCAGGTGAAAAAAATACTATCATCATTTGTTGACATTTCGGTGTTTATTTTTTTAAAACTTCACGTTCACAGTGGAATATAGGGCTTCAAGCCAGAGGCTAGTTACGGTATTAAGTGAATAGAATGCAACCTGTAGAATTCATGAAATTCACGAACTGATGTAAAACATGTGCACTTTTCCTTTAACTATGAAGCTTCCATGCCAAACGTATTACGGTAGGGGCATAAACAGTTCGCAACCTAACTCATAACACTGACGTGGAAAAGCTTTCATTCGTTTTTACTGAACTTATCATATACGATCTCGTGAAGCGATCCCTGTATCATTATTTTTCTTACATTGAAGGGCGGAGCAAGACATTCAAAATCCTTTGCTCTACGTAGAATAGCAGAGCAACTCGTTGCGCCATAGTATTTATACGAATAAGCTTTACCTTCTGAACAACTTGTGCTTATTCCAACTAGGATAATAACATTTTTCACGTATGAGCCTAAGTTATGTTTATACAATTGGAATGTTATAGCAATTAAACTTTCCCTCAAAATAAATGACATTTGGAAAACAGGTTCAAAACAATGCTGCACATTGTGTTCGTAGTGCTAACGCTTTGTGCCCTAAAATGAAGAGCAGACTATGACGAGTAAGTGAAATATTAAATTAATGCTGCAATTGTGCCACGAACGCCAACAGATCCCAGATCTATTGAGACAATAATGTTTCGTTTCGTGAAAATTCAAAAATATACATTTTAATTTTGAACTTCCTGCCTCACTTAGTCTATCAGGTTGCTCAGATATCAGTATCAAGCGAAATTTCCTAATACATGAGCATCAAGTATAATGCGATTCAAGTATATTACTCCGCCGATGTTACGTACGTCGGAAAAGTTTCTCAGTGCACCGTCTCACTTGAAAATCATGTGAAAAATTATAATTTCGTCATTTAACCGACATGTCAATGGACATTGATGCTGAAATTAGCGAGATTAAAGTCAATTTGCATAAACAACATTTGCAGTTGAAAATGCGGATTCCCACATGATGACCAGCTGCTACATCTGCAGGAAAGGTGGAGGCGTAGAACAGATCCCTTTTTAAATTGAGCTGAGCCTCTTGCGAGATGTATTTTTTCGGAAGTTTCCTAGTGGAACTGTCCAGAAAGTTTCCCATCAGCATTAATATTAGACATCAGTGTTGCAGGTACGTAAGATCTAGGATTTTCCATTAGTCAAAATATAATCTGTTCACTCCATTTCACGTTGTTTTAATTATCAATGTAGATCTCTGCATTGTGGTTTGTGCAATACAAACTACCGCTGTAGATTTCTCAAAGAAAACAGGGGAAGGCATGACAGGCTAATTGATGTCACTTCGCTCGGGTGAAATATCCACTCAAATTACGTATTATTATCACTCTGTTGGGTTCCGAGGGGAACATAGGGCTTCAACAACATATCTCCACTTTGGTTGTTTTGGTGATATCTTCTTCATCTGGGTCCATGATAGCTCATAATCTCGAGTCTCCTCCCCGTAAGACCACCTCCATTTCTTCCTCATATTATATATTACCGATAACTAATTTACTTAGAGACTATACAGCCACAGTAAGTACTATTAGATAAGGCATCTGGGAGTTCAGCGACAAATATCAGAGCGACCTTCAAAATGAAGTCATTATTATTGAAAAGAATCCTGTTGATATCCACGTTTATATATGAAAGATAAAAGTGAGCACATTGGCATTTTCAGCGGTTGTTACCTGCCTAAAACGCCGGATAAGACTACTAAATGGACACAGATATCTTCAGCACATTGGCATGATTAAATTAAGTCCCGGCGGTTTCCCTTCATGAACTTTCTTTAGCCTCTCCTTAATTATGATCAGAGTTATCAGCTTTCGCACCTGAGAATGTGTTACTGAGGGAACAGAGAGTTCTTCCCAATTAAATGAATCTCAGACATTTCGCCTTCAACGACTAATTGATTTATCTGTACTGAATTCATCAGA